ATATAGCAGGCGGAAATTTTAAAATGGCGTGGATGCGCGGTGGCAAAAGCAGGCAGTTTTTGTTATAACAATTGCAGCCCTCCTTCTTCAGTATTCCTATCAGGGGCGTAGATAAAATATTTAAAAGCAGGGATCAGTTCACAAAATTAAACTGTAGAAATTAGCTTATTCGGTTGATTTCCTCGTGTAGATATTTAAAGTTTATAGAAAAAAAAGAAATATGCGCAATAATTTAGTTTAACGTGATTTGTTTAAATGTTATGTTAAAAATGAACAAATAGTAGACATACAGACAGAAGAATTAATTTTTGATGTTGGTGACAATGATATTGATTCACATGAGGACAGTGAACGTGAAAATTAACTACAAAACAAACAAAAGCATTAGGTTCATTTTTTATGGTAAGCTATGTTTCTATCTTATTTTCTAGTACGCCACTGTCTTATCCGTATTAATACAAAAGTTTACGCCTACAGAAAGTTAATTTGTGTATCAGTTCCAAATGATTTACCCAAATAAGCCATAAATGGGCAAGTAGCTGCGCGACCGCTCGCCAGCTTCATTCGTCCTACCTATACATAGTGACAAATAAAACCAGATTTTCTTGACGTCAGATTCCGGAACATTCTATAACATAGCCAGCTCGTATAAATAGTTGTCGCGAGATCGGAAGAGTTAGTATGTGAAATATATTGGTTAATTAATAATGGTGGAGTTAAACAGAAAGCAAATAGTTAAATAAATTTAATATTAGTTAGGAAGGTGTTTAATTACGTGAAAATATCGTATCCTCAATAGAAGATAAAATTCTGTAATTTTGATTTTTTGACGATTATTCTTGTGTGACTGTCTTCTAAAGAGGACAGACCTGAGAATCCGCTCATATTAAACTTGAACATTTGCTCATACACAACACTGTCGCAGGTTCTTTACGAGTTCGACTTGCGGCAGTAGTTGGTATGTACCGGCAAAAGTTGCAGCCAATAATTCACGGTTATTACTGCGGCATTTTCGCAGCTGAATACGCACACTGAGATTCTTCTAATAAATACAGTTTTAGTTGAACGACGCGGTCGCGTACCGACATATGTTAGCTCGCCTTAACAATTTGCGTAAATGATATGCAAGTACGCAGAAGCTATCATGCAGAGCACCTGATTAATAGACTTGAATCCGCAGGCGATCGGAAAACAAAAAATCGAATTGATTTACGCTAAAAGAAGCCCATTATAAATATCCATTGTTACCGGCACGAATAGCGTATCTGATTTACTTATTTTGCATTTAACCGCTTTAGGAAATTATGGTATAAAACGGAAAGCGAAAATGTGCATGTTCATAAATTATTTAAATTCTGGTGCACAGTTGTACTGTTTATTCAGTAATAACGTAATATGAAAAGCTACTAAATTCAGTGATGATAAAACAATGGCTACTTCGGTAACTATATTTGAAACAGAAGGTTTCCATAGTTCACTCTCAAATAAAAAATTTCAAAATTTCCTGACATTGATATGGGTGCTTCCATGAAAATAGGGCAACTCTAGGTCCACAGACATTTTTCACTGCACTAGATTAAATAAATTTTACTTTTTAGTTAATAGGTAACAGCTTAATATGTATTTTATTTANAAAAGTTTGTGTTTTCTATTAATACCTGCCTGTTGGGGATTCAATAAAATACAAAGTTCAATGTTCACGAAGTACTGGTTTTTTGTCGTTCGTATAAATTACGTATTCAAATTAAATCGATCAATCAATAAACCAAGGTCGAATACTTAGTTTGTTATCGACCATTAATTTTTAACTGACGCAATTTGTTATGAAAATAAATAAAAGCAACACAATTTTACTATCTAACTTTAATTCTTAACTCTACATAGGCATCTTGAGAAAGAGTAGTGCAATTTATTTTGGAAACGGTCAGTTATCAGTTGACAAAGTTGGCGCATTTCAAAATTGCAACTGTTTCACCATCTAAATAATCCCGTTGATGAATGGCCATTTCTTCCAGAACCAATAGTTGCTTTTCTTCATGATCATTTATAAGGTCGTCAGTCCAAAGACTGGTTGGACACGCATCTCCCATCTCTTTCCTATCTTGAAACTAGAACATCCCACATCCTTAACTACTTGTGAACAGTAATCTAATCTAGGTCTACCTCTATTCCTCCTAACTTTTGCTTCTGCCTGAAATATGTCTCTGATTAGACCTTCACGCCTGAGAAGGTGTCCCACCAACCTATCTCGCCTATGTTCTCCTATTTTTTTGTAACATTCTCTATCCACGGTATCCTCATCATTAGCCTGTAACACCACATTTCGAACGCCTTTAACCTTTTCTTTTCCGTTGCGCCCACCGTCCATTTTTCGCACCCATACAGCGCCGCGTTACAAACATACATTTTTAACAATATTATTCGAACTTCTAAATTAACTATTCACGAGCATAGAAGTGACTTCTTTTTATTGAAGGCGACTTTATATCCCTACTACTCTACTACCTAAAATCAGTCTTATATTCTTTATATTCGCTCTTTCCCTACTTTGAAACTTCTTTACGCACGGTAGGGTAAGTTCGTTTCATGCGAGTTGCTATGTAACGAAATCATGCAACGCATTTCCCCCGCTGTTTGTCCCTATGAATGCTTAGATCTTAGATCAACGGATTTTAATGCGTTTTTTTTAATAGATAGAGTAATTCAAGAGGAAGATTTATGTGTATAATATATGCATAATATAGTAGAGAAACACTGATAATTTTTTGCGCTTACATTGTTAACGCTGGCTGAACCCTACCAGATAGATCAAAATAATAGAGACAGTATTGTACACCTTAAAAGGTCTACAAAAAAGTCCGTGATGCTATTATGTCTATCTCTTAGGGATAACCCATAAAAAGTATTTCTTGTACTTTACTTTTTACGAGAAATAATGGCTTATTTACGAAGCGATTTTAAACAATACAGCATTTAATCCTTATCCAATTAAGTACTTTTAAATACATTGTGCATTTAATATAGACCAATATGGCCCTTTACAGCATGTAATTTAAATGAATATTTTCGAAGATATATCACAGACCTAAAATGCAGGGATATGGCGGTTGCGGCAGTACCGGTTGATTTATATTGTCTAATGACAAAAAAGCTCTGATTGTTGTATATAACGACATTCTATAGTATATTTACTATCAGCATTGCACCCGTGCGAAGTAAATAATACCATTAAACCAATTCCTTAACCCCTATCCCGGTATGTTTATGTGTTTGAAGAAGTTTCACTTCAGTAGCGTGTTGTATAATTACACGTTGTATTTTTTTTCTCTGGTAGAATTACGCATTATTATCCGGCACCCGACCGGATCCTTAAAAAGTGCTGGAGCAGCCGAGTACCGTATCCAAACCCGAGTACCCAGCCCATCTCTAATATAAACAAAGAACGTTTAATGATATTGTTGACATTTGATTCAACATTATTGAAGTATTCATCATAACGTAAAAGAGATTTTGTTACAAATTACGTTTTAAGACGCATAAAATTAACATAGGCTTTGTTGAAGCAGGATAGTCGGTGTTTAACTTATACCAGCTTCTGCTGTACGCCAACTTAATATTGTACAGCTAGTTGATGATTTTTCCTTTAATAAAATTTACACCTTTTTTTTTTACTAGTTTTATTATTAAAGGATCGAGACTATTCACAATTAAAAATATGTACAACTATTGTAACTTAAATAACTAAACGCGTATTATTGAGAACCGTGCTTACTGATGTATATTGATGAACTCTCTTAGAAAAATTTGGACATGTATTTAAATAAACGAGAAAGAGAAGAACAATTTAAGATGGATAGAGATAGAATTAGAAACTAGTATGAAAAACTTTACAGCAAATGACTACATTTCAGGTAAATGTGATAGATACAATTGAAAAGGTTATGAGAGGAAAATACGGCCCTAATATGATTTTAACGATGAGTCAGGTAAACATTGAATAGGTTACTATTGTATTATGAATTCCAAGAGAAGATTCAAATGTAATATGCACGATAATGTAAATTAGGATGCAAAGAATGTACAGTTAAAACCAAAAGCAATCGAATAAGATATTATTAAATGTGTATATAACTAAAAACTATAAGTATAACAAAAAACAAACGTTTCGGCGAATAGCGACGGAACATGCCGCCCGCCATTGATCGGTCGCGATCAATTAAATCAATTGTTATTATACTTCAATTGGAAGTATTGCTAGTTTCTTCACTGCACGTTTAACTTCACCACTTCGCGTTTTTATTGTGACGACTCTCACAATACCGTCATCTCCAGGATGAAGTTGAATGATTCTACCCATCGCCCACTGAAGCGGTGACAAGTTGTCTTCTTTCACTAGAACCATCGAGCCGACGCTGAACTTATTTGATGTTGATTGATACCATTTTGTTCTGGTTATCATTTCATTGAGGTACTCCTTTTGCCATCGTGACCAGAAATGCTGCCTTAGTTGTTGAAGATGTTGCCAGTTTGACAATCTATTACTTGGAGTTTGTGTCCAATCTCTGTCTGGTATGCTTGTGAGCGAATCACTGATTAAGAAATGACCAGGAGTCAGGGCAAGGAGGTCATTAGGATCGGATGATAAAGGTGTCAAGGGACGTGAATTAAGAATTGCCTCAATTTCAATGATGTGTGTGTTAAACTCTTCAAATGTTAACAGCGTGTTACCTACTGTTCGTAAAAAGTGATTTTTAAATGATTTTACAGCAGATTCCCATAATCCACCAAAGTGAGGGGATCGTGGGGGGCTGAAGTGCCACTGTATGCCTTCAGTTGCCAAATTATGCCCTATTATGTCATTATTTTCTTTAGAATTTACAAATGTGTACAACTTCTTCAGTTCGTTGTTTGCACCGATAAAATTCGTTCCGTTGTCTGAATAAATGTTTTGACTTTTCCCCCGTCTGGAAAAGAATCGTTTTAACGCAGCTAAAAATGTGTCAGTTGTTAAATCGCTGACAAGTTCCAAATGAATTGCCTTTGTAACGAAACATATGAATACTGCCACATANNNNGTCCTTCAGTAGTGACTGACTAAATGTTACAGTTTGCTGACGGAATATGCCATGACAAGAGTGACGAAACAGCGCAGAATCAACTTGTGGCCCGTCAAAAGAGTCCAACTTAAAAATCTCCTGACCGTTGACCACCGCACGAATACCACCTCTGACGCTAGCAGCAAAACCTAGTGTTAATGTGGCGTTGCCTTGGGTTGATCCGGTATAGTTGAATCTGACCTTCCAGTTGGTAGGAAGCGCATTTTGGGTGACATTGACCAGTCCGAGTTGAGCGGGGAAGCCAGGTGTCTTAATCATCGGCATAAAATAGCACCAGTCTTTGGCAGGGTCACTAACGCCAACTGTGTAGTCTGGATCATTAGGAAATTCTATGGAGTATCTGAGCCATGTTCCAAACTTGCGGTATTCTAAGAAAATCATCATTTAAAGGTTTTAAAATTGAATTACTTTACTTATTAAAAAATATATATGTGGTAATCTGGGTTTAAGTTTCCAATTAGCAGTGTCTAACACTTTTACAGAAGGTTTAACACAATTTTACTATTAAAATTGGGTTGTTGACATTATACGGAGACTAAAGAGAAAAGTGTTCTTGCGTGCCCAAAAATCTTTCGAGTTCACGGAAACTTTAGTGTAACTTAACACTTAGGTAACCTTTTAAAAGTCAAGTACTGGATTCTTGAATTAGGTATGTTTTGTGTCACTTTAATGTTTGTCACTTAGTTACTCAAGCAGCCAATCTAACGATTGTTGTACCAGGCTGACAAATTGGTAATACAAAAGATTTTACAAGAGGGCCATACTTTTCAAAGGGTCAAGTGCAAAATATATCAACGACTGCCGGAAAGGAATTCATATACCAATCATTGTACGAGAAAACCTCTACACGCTTTTATCTGCTATCGTTACTTTATTTTTGTAAATCTCACTTGACTAGTCAATCACTTTGTTAAATAATGGAGTACCTTCTAAATTAGGGATAGGTGATGGAAAGCCACGTGGCGATTTAAACTCTGCCGAACTTCTATCCGGTACACCGATCTGCCACAGTAGCTTGCCATGGCTTTCCGGCCTCCAATTGATAGTGCCAAGATCGTGGTCCCTATTGCTTTGCACATTAATATTTTTTTGAACGTACTTTCCAACCACACCCCTTGCTATTACTTGCAGTTTGTATGCGCCTGGTCTCACAGCTGGGATTTCAAATCCACCTAATGATAATGACAGTTTTTATTATGTTTAGGAAAATACATTAATAATTTGTTTGGTCAAAAATAGGAAATTCTTTCTGGTGAGTATTTGAAAACGAAGTTCAAAATTTTTAAATCAATGTGGTTCTGAATGACACGTTGGACAAATTAGTAGTTTATAATCAAATGTCAAAGTTAAAACCTTAATAACATAAAATGATGTTTGAAAATAAGAGCAATAATTGTAAAAAATTAAAAAACCATTTTTTCCAGCCATTGCAGTATACATGTAAGTGGCCGTCTCTAACTGGGGATCATCAACATGAGGCTCCGTCAGAATAAGGTAGACCCAGTCTTCATTCGGCGACCCATCCACATGGAGTACCCCCGACACACTGCGCCTACCTTTTGCATTGTACTCTGGTGCAGTGACAAACTTGTATGGCCACTTCTGCTCCTCACGCTTGAGTTGTACCTGAGCGTCGGTATACATTTCCGAAAGACTTTGGCCTTCATTGAGGTACAAGCCGATGGGACCATACACTTTGCTCCATCCCCTGGTGGGCGCTAAGTCTGGTGTGCCGTAATGTCCCGTGTGTTCACAAAAGAGCAGCATTTGACCGGTGTGTGTTGTTAGGCTCTAAAACAGTTGTGCCATGTAGATTGCTTCGACAAAATATTAATGGATACTTATTAACGTTTATTCTTTATCCATTAACATTTAACCAATGGAAAAACACGAAGAGTCAGCGCTTCAGGAATTCTATTCGTTGTGTACTAATATTTTTACAAAATTTAAATTTCGCGTTTTAATAAAGTTATAGTACGTATTAGAAAGAATAGGAGAACAGAAGACTCTATGGAAGTCAATAAGAAATAGGCGAGATAGGTCAAGTGGAAAAACGAATCACAACAAAATTGTTACTTCAAGTTTTACTGGCAGATTGTTAACATACTTGTCCAATTTAAAAACTAGCCCGTAAAACTCCAAGTAAAAATTTTGTTGCGATTCGTCTTTCCACTTGTCCGTTGCCATTCTATTTTCCACTTGTCTGTTGAATATGATTTGGTTTTAACACAGACCGCAAATAGAGGCAATCATGTCCAGCCACGTGGAGAACAGAAGTAAGAAAACAACAGCTGAGCACAGCACACGCAGCCGGGGACTACCTGCTCTCCGCGCGGCTGCGCATTATATCCAAGTAATACAGCCCTTGTCCTCTCGCCGCCGCCGCCAGCCTTCCTCTCCCTCCGCCGCTGGCGCCTCTCACCTCGCAATATACCCCTTCCACGAGGCCGTAACGCTTTTTCGTGACAGAAACAATCGTAATACCTCGCCGTCTATATAGAAGTTTCACTTCAAAAAGTAAATAAAGCTGTGATACGAATTCAGAAACAGGGCAAGCACAAATAATATCATACTATAATTTGACAAAAAGATCAGTGAATGCAATTGATTAAAAATGTACCGTTTACACATATAGTAGGAGGACTCGCCGTTGACCAATGGCCCTATTTTACAGAATGGTTGATATTGTAGCAATGATGCCAGTCTTATTCAAAATTCTTTCCGAGATAGCACTGCAATTTCTCGATACAATTCGTGGCGATATTACCTTTCATAGCATTTTGGTTAAATTTTGTATATATTTTTGTATTCGTGTAATGTTAAATTTGGTGTTTCTGTATATATCTTTATTTTGTTAATAATCCTTTTCAATATGCTCAAGTAAATTTGCCAATTCTGGTTACTCACTAATATGTACATTCTTACTACAACATTCCTACTTTTTGTTTTTTTTATTACCATTCTATACTCTAAAGTAATTTCGTTTGTTCACATTTCTATACTTCACTAAACCTGTACTTTCCAATAATCCCTAATAACATTTCAGTTTCAGTTGCTAACTGTATGACATCTAATATTATTACTCCTTCTTAATTACGTTTTAATGATGGGTAACTTTGGTACTTTTTGGTCTATGTCCTTTCGCTGTATTTCTAAGTAAAAATTATTCCAGATTTCACCACCTTCTGGTTGGTTCCCTACCTTATTTTAACCACTACTAGATCCTCCCTTATTTTTCTTTCTAACAACTAAAACTCCTCCTTTTCAGTCTTGCTAAGACAAAACTACACAGAGTTCCTCTACAGTTCTAATCAACTCGATCAGAAATCAACTTGTCAACCTAAGCGACTATTTTATTCATCGTATTAAAAATATCTTTATAGTTAATTGTGCGTTTTATTAAATAACACTTCTCACTCACTAACGCCAAAGTTATGCTTATGAAATTGTTATTGCTAGTGTTTGTTTTCTGGAGTGAAATTTCTTTACGCACGGTAGGGTAAGTACGTTTCATGCGAGTTGCTATGTAACGAAATCATGCAACGCATTTCCCCCGCTGCTGTCCCTATGTATGCTTATATCTTTAAAACTACCCAACGGATTTTAATGCGGTTTTCTTTAATAGATACAGTGATTCAAGAGGAAGGTTTATATGTATATCACATGCATAATATAGTTGAGAAACACTGATAATTTTAGAGGTTTCTAATGTGATGTCGTAAATAAACACATTTTTTGCGCTTGCATTGCAAACGCTGGCTAAACCCTACGAGATAGATCAAAATAATGTACCACAGTATTGTACATCTTAAAAAGGTCTACAAAAAAGTCCGCGATGGTATATGTCTATCTCTTAGAGATAACCATTTTTTATCCTTTACTTTTTATGAAAAATAATGGCTTATTTACGAAGTGATTTTAAGCAATNTTTCGTTTGTTTAATTATTTGCATCTGCAGATTATTTGCATATGACATTGCGCAACTTTATTAAAAACCAAATTGCAAGCTGTTGATACTCATGCATCTTAAACCTACATAACATTCTTTCACTCCGAAAATACATTTCAAAGATAAAGCGTCACAAAGTAACCCTGAACTTGGCATACGCGTACACAAACCAATTATTTCTCTGCTTTTTATTGCTTATCTTCCTAAGGTCCTAGCAATGTCCATCTTATGTGAACATGGTTAGGACTGTTGCGCTTTTCTGTATGAAGAACCTTTCAAAGAAATAAACATTAGAACTTAAAAAGAGAACCTCAATAATAAATCAGGGTAGAACTCTATCAAAACCTGATTGCAAAATTCATCATAAAAAAAATACTCGATGAACAAATTTATTGATAAGATTTTTCTTGACATTGTACATACTTACAAACATTATATTGCTCAAATATAGCAGTAAAATTAATACAATTAGTGTAACTACCAGAGATATAAATGATATTATAAATATTTTACAATTTTACTGTTATAAATATGCCACTTTTAAAATTAAACTTCTTTTTAAGCATGTTCTGTATACTCCTCTGGCCATCTTAGTCTTTAATATTACTCATCATAGATTTTACACATGCCTCAAATGCATCATTATTCATCAGTCAGAATTCCACCGTCCTCCTGTTTCGGCGAATAGCGACTGAACAGGCTTCTATGATTAATATTTTTATTTAAGACTTGTACCTTCAGATGGATTTTCACCATTCGCCTTTGATTAATTCTGATTATGGATCCAGCATATCAAAGTCTGTCATCAGTAAGGTGTTCGTTTAACGTATTCATCACTATGAATAATAATTTAGCGTCAGTTAAATATAAATTCAGTAGAAAGCAAAAGTAAGTCGACATTTGAAATGACTTTCATTGCATCTACGTGTCCGGAATCGCTTAGAGAACGGCACTTAAACGCCTGTCATCGTACCATTAAAAAGCGCACGCTGTCACAAAGGCCGTTCTGTTATGCTCAACATTATTAGCGACAAAGTACGCCCAAGTTTAACAAAACACGAATAAAGAATGAAGATCCATTTTGTCAATGTATTATGCCTTAGTAGAGCTGATTATTATGCACGCACAAATAGAATAACGAGCAATGGCTCAACCTATTAATAGGACTTAATGGATTCCTGTGTACGTATGATGTACCTACATGCCGCAGTCAATGAAATGATTCGCTACTTTTAATTTCGCCTAGGCGGTTTTGAAAGCAAAGCAACAGATATGACGGTCGATCAGGGTCAACTGTTGCAGATTGTTAGGTCTCTTACCCGACTAGAGATTTTGATCATGGACCTGACTTTGTTCGGTGGTGAAGGTATATCGGTGACTTCCCCTAATTGGTTTTCTGTAATTTTTAACATCGTACTAGGTTTCCCTTATTTTTGTGTGCGTGACGTCTAATATTTTTAATTACATTATGATGATGGGTTGTTTTGGTACTTTTGGGTATATGTCCTTTCGCTGTATTTCTAAGTAAAAATTATTATATACCTTAGTTTAACCACTTCTAGATCCTCCCTTATTTTTCTTTCTCACAACTAAAACTCCTTCTTTTCAGTCTTGCTAAGACTTTATTTTTAAAACTACAGAGAGTTCTTCNAAATTTTTTTTAATTTTTCTCCACGTCATTATTTCAACAGTATTACAGCATCATTCTGATAGACGTGGCTTTCCCATCAATCGTGGGGAGGTTGTCGTTGTCATAAGCTTCACCGCTATTATTTGAGTCTTCTTCGTTTTCTATAGCTCGTGTAGGTTTAGTTACAGAAAATCTAAAACCGCATTTTGTTCTGCTTCCAAAGGATAGAATATTAACATAGAACAAGTAAATGGGTCAAAACTTTGCTAAAACGTGGTTGAAATACTAAGAATCGTGTGTTTAAGGAAATGATTTTAAGTTTAAATGAAAAAGGGTAATTTCTTTTAACATTATCGAAATTTGTTATAAAAAAGGTTAACCAAATTTAAAAAATAAAGACTTAAATACTGAATTATTTAACCTCTCCAAACAGCCTGCCGTATTATTGCCTATTTAGTATTACCTGTAATTTATTTCCGTTTGCTATTTAGGAAATGTATAGATTTCCTAGGAAATGTGTCTAATATAATTGATTTCACACATTTCCAGGCGATTTTAGGAATTAAATACATTTAATAGGAATTGTATACAATGTCATATTTTGTACATTTAAAATACTAATAATCGTATGTATTTGATGATTACTATGTAACGAATACAACGCATCTGTTACTCGGATATACAGTATAGTATCTACCAACTGCTTGAAAAAGTAATCGTTGCACATCACTACACTACGGTTTTTAGACCAGAATCAGAGCAGCATCAGTTCGAACAATGGGCTTCACTATGGTCAGTATTCTGTCGAAAGTGTCAGACGCGGATCGCGATTTTGAACGAATAATTCCACCAAATATAGCACTGTATTGCAGATGGTGTTTACCGCGTCGCTTGTAGGATTTCATAAAGCCCAGTTTCAAGGCGGCAAGTAGAGTTGACCTGCCGAAATTGCCTACGACGTGCGGACGAGATCCAACAAGATTGAAATTGCGTTCCGCGTGTGGCAGTTTCGACAGAAAACCGCCATCGTATATAATTCCTAGGAAATGAATACAATTCCTAAAATCGTCTAGAAATGTGTGAAATAAATTATATTAGACACATTTCCTAGGAAATCTATAAATTTCCTAAATAGCAATCGGAAATGTATTACAGGTAATATTAAATAGACGGTCTGATATATTATAAGTTAGAATAATGTGACGAGGTTATCTTTGTTTCAGTAAATACGATGACCTTGAATT